GGCAATTTTCATGCTTTAACATAGAAATTGCTGTAATGTGAGAACATAACATGAGAACTATTCAAAATACATCTCTCTATGCAAAATTGAGTTTGTATATATTTTAGCATTTTAAATGAGCACTCTGAAACTGAGACCAAATATCAATCATCTCTTGAGGTTTTCTGCTGTGTACTAACATCAGATCTACGTAGGAGCAGATGTTATTCTTTTCTCCTCAATATCAAATGTCCTGAAGGCTTTGTGTTTCTCTGGAACGAGGCCGAGTTTCTCAAGGCACATTCCAGTATAAGCGTCGTCAGTGGGGTGGAGATGGACCTGGTCAGTGATATGGTACAGCCTCCGCGCCAGGTGGCCGGAGTAGAGGCACCCCCTCCCCCTGCATAGGGTGGGTAGAGGCCGGAGTAAACAACTTCTGGGATGCAGTACTTCAGCTCCTTATCCCGATGAGGTCCAGCACTGTGGATCACATCACCTATAAACAGACCTTTGACTTTGCTCTTGGATAAGCTATTCAAGTAATTCAGGATGTGATGGGTGTTCCCCAAAACATCATCATCGCCCTTGAAAACAAACTCAGTGTCTGGGCAGGAAGTACTTAGCCACCTGAGAAACAGCACTTCCTTCAGAGACAAGTTGAAGGAAATGTCTGTGTAGTTCCACGTAGGAATGTCTTGGTCCTCACTCTCAGATTTCAGCATATCTGAAAGGTCGGGGTGGTTGTCCCCTGGGGGTGTCTGGCCCAGCAGGAAGACTTGCACCACCGTTTGGTTCCCCGCGTTGCTTTCTCGGCCCCCCCAAGATTCCCGGATCGCTTGCCTTCTGGCCAAGTGTGGAGTGAGGGACTTAATCGCCAGCGACAAGAAGGGTTTCTTTGCACACTTCTCCGGCTGATCTACAAGCAGTGAATAATCGCGGCATCTCAAATACAGCAGAACGTCTTGAAATCGTCCGGCACGTTGTTAAAACCCGTAACCGCCGACGTGACCCTGAGGTCAGGTTCGCAGGAGCTCAGACGGCTCCCGCTGCAGAGCCTGCCCGCCTCCCGCGTCTGGTCGGCCGGCGTGCTCAGGATGGGGCTGCGCTGCCCGCTCAGCTTCTCTTGCTCTCCGTTCCAGTTTGCTTCGGCAGGGGTAGGCATCTTCCAGAACTTCTCTTTGGGTATTGTTACTTCTCCTTTCCAATTTTTTCTTGGTTACTGCTTTTGGAGACTTCCACAGTCAAATAAATGAAGACATTTGCCATCATCAGGATACCCAACAACTTTATTCTTGGACGTCCAACACTCATTTCCCATATCTTGTCCGGGAGCAGCTCCAGCTCGGCGGGGCGGGGGCGAGGACGGGAGATCGAGGCCGCATCCACGTCCTGGCCGCTCCACGAGGCTCAGCCCGGCGGCCCGGCGGTGGGGACAGCTCCGGCTCGGCCCTGCTGGCCTCCGGCACTTGCTGCCGCCGCTGCCCTGTAGTTGTTTTTAATCTCAATTCAGATACAAGAGAATCAGGTTGTGACTACTTAGTTCAGTCATGGACACCAGTTTTCACAGGAACAGCCCAATGCTGCTTTTAGGAAAAGGATTCGGTTCACAATGTTAATTCACCCCTCACGTCTCTCTCTTTTTTTTTTTTTTTTAAAGACAGCGTTTCACCATGTTGGTCAGGCTGGTCTTGAACTCCCGACTTCAAGGTGATCCGCCCGCCTTGGCCTCCAAAAGTGCTTGGATTACAGGCTGAGCCACCACGCCGGGCCTTCATGTCTCCTTTAAAAGAGATCAGGTTAAAACAACAATTTTCACTTTGTCTCTGTCTACTGGTATACTAGTCTATGCTTTTATTTTCAATCTCTACTAGTTCCTATCTTCTCCATTGCTTGTTTTTGCATTACTCCCTGGACAGGCTTAAATAACTTATGATTGTCTAGAGATCTGACCTGAGCCGACCACAATTCTGCTTTTGCTCTGATTTAGCATTCTCTCTCTTGATTTTGTGTCATATTATATTTTATATTGGTATAGTTCTTCTTTTTGTCTTTGCTCCTCCCATTTCAGACCTCTTGATTCAAAGGCATGCCACTGGAATCTAGAAATTTATACAGGCAAAGGAATGGAAAGAAACAAAGAGAAGGGAGCACAGGATTGTTAATGGTCAAGACCAGAACGTGATTAGGGGTGCATAAAAACGAGACAGAGGAGAAAAAAAGAGGCTTTTAATCTACATTACCTCCAGACGGCTAAGAAGAATGTGTTCTTTTATTGGACCTTCAAGTGACTCAATCCTTAGGTTTGTGTTTCTCTGTCTCTGAGGGGAACTGGAAACAAATGTTGATGTCTTATAGCCACTTCTTCTCCTTTGCTCTTTTATGATCAAATGCATCTTAAATTAACTATTGGGGAAGTTTTCTGAGCCTTTATCCTGTTTCTCAATGTCCATTTCATCACTGGCTATAGCTATAACTGTCTTGTCACTTTAAAAATCCCTGTTCAGTTTGAACCCATTGTTTAGAGTTTTTATGGAGGCTCTATTATGAAGGCATGTTTGATTACATCATTAGCTATTCGTGATTGAACTCAGCAACCAACCCCTGTCCTAAAGTGGTCTTGGGGAACATCAAAAGTAACCTCATGAGCATAGGCACCAGGCTTGGATAAAGGGTCTTGTTATGAATAATAAAAGACACTCTTTTCATCTTAAAAATTTTTTTTAAATGTTCAACTAGGTAACTATTGTTACTTTTTTTCTTTCATCTTTATTGACCTGGAACTATTTCAGAAACTGGGAACAAAAACCAAATAGATAACATAAGATGTTTCTTGCACCTTTATGACTCTAGAGCATGATTGAAAGCTGAGGACAAAACCCAAATATTATAACAAAAGATGCTAATTTCTGTCAACCAGGTAGTTTTAGGGTTTTAGAAGCTCTGTGATAAACAAAAATGAAATATACATGTTTCTTATTATATCACAAGTCCAATATTCCTAATAGATTTTCTTGTATTTAAGACTGTTTACTTGAGAATGTGGAAATGCTTGTGATGTTAATAGAGTGATCCACATTTTAGAGACTGTATGTAAACGATGAAGTGTTTGAAAGCCCTTGGGTAATGATTGGAGGAAGCCAAAATAACCCTCTCTAAGATAACTGCATGTTATTGAGCTGAAAAAGGTAGCCATTAGGAGAACATTCTTCCCCTCCTTCTGCTTGCCTGATGGCAGAACAACAATTTACAAAGATGAAGTTCTTTCTGCCCTTCTTTCCACTTTTCCCAGCTAAGGATTAGCTCCTTTACAATGCTTGTAAAAGAATTTAAAAGCAGACATCACTCTTCTCATACAAATGTCTTCCTGTATTTCATTTCCTTTTGGAATCCTGAAGATACTCTCTTCTTTGTCTTTTCACCGTCATCCTAAAGGAAGTAGCTGAAGTCACATTCATACAGAGTTTATTTGGGCCAAGGTTGAGGACAGCTTCTTGGGAAAACACTTCCAAGTTGCCTTGGTAAGTGGACTGGAGAATAAAGGAGAGACTGAAGATTTTAAAGAAAAAAACGAAAGAATCTGTGAAATCACGGAACCAGCCCAAATGTCCATCAGTCAATGAGTGGATAAAGAAAGTGTGGTATAAATATATGATGGAATACTACTCAGCCATAACAAGGAATCAACAGCATTTGCACTGACCCAGATGAGATTGGAGACTATTATTCTAAGCGAAGTACCTCAGGAATGGGAAACCAAACATTTTATTTTCTCGCTGATATGGGGAGCTAAGCTATGATGACGCAGAGGCATAAGATTAATACAGTAGACTTTGGGGACTGGGGCGGAAGAATGGAAGAGGGACGAGGGATAAAAGACAATAAATATGGTACAGTGTATACTGCTTCGGTAATGGGTGCAAAAAAATCTCACAAATCACCGCTAAAGAAAGAACTTACTTATGTAACCAAATACCACCTGCACCCCCAATAACTTATGGCAAAATAAATTAAAAGTAAAAAAAGAATGAATCAGGAGAGGGAGTGATTTGAAAAGTGATTCATTAGTAAATTATCATTGATTTACAGAAACCACGTTGATTAGTAATTGGCTATACACTGTGAAACTGAAGGGTTCAGTTAGTCTAGAAGCCACATAACGTGGCTTCAAGAGGTAATTGTTGAGCTCAAGGTGGCAGTGAGGCATGACTCTTGTCAAGTCGCTCTCATGATTCCACTCTGGACTTGATAGTTTCAAGGGGCTCACATTTCTCAAATAAAAAGTTTTTTTCCTTTCTCACCACCCCATAAGATTTATGGCTCTCTGTTAAAATACTATTTAAGCAAGGCCTATAAGCCACTGCCTTGAAAGAGAGGAATACATTTGAACTGCCTTCTCTCCTGAGTGATGGGTACAGCACCCATTAATAAACACCTGGTTTTTCTCTTGTTTCTCTAATGTTTGTTTTCAGGGGGGTGTCTCTATTGAGAATCTATGAGGACAAGAAAACCAACTATATGTTCTCTGCTACAGTATCAAATTTATGAAGCCTGTTTCTGATTTTATATCACTTCAGCTCCCTTTCACCTAGTCAGGGAGACTACAAAATATCACTGACATCTGCCTAGTATTAGTCTTGATGCAGTAAGAACGTTTCATCACCTATGCAGACTGATTTCAGAATGTTTCATTTTGCAGACTTCATTCAATCAGACTTGTACTTACTTCCTAGGACACTGTTTAACACATGGATTAAGGCTTGCATAAAATAAGTAACCAACGTAAAGGTTAGCTAGGGAGTACTTAATTTAATCAAGGTCTCCAAATAGATTTCTTTTAGAGGATATAAAATGTTCTATTTTGCATGTCAGAATGAATAGGATTCAGAGAGAGAAATTTTATATGAGGAACTGAAGAAATGATCTAAGTATTCTTGCCAAAGTTCTCACAAATGGTTTTCGATATGTTTCTTAATTCCTCTTTCTCCACCCACCCCGCCACCCCCATGTATTGAAATCACTGGAAACTTTAGTTGTAACTGTGACTTCTTCTTTTGAGGTACACTTAATATTGGAAGTCTCTTAGTCCTATGAGTGGGTGTGTAGCAGTTTGTCTCTGAGCTCTGGTTTCTTTAAATGAAGCTGGGTCTCTGGGCAACATCTTTAATGAGACAGATACAAAGGTTCCTGGACCTTCTCAACACAGGGAGCCTGCGTAAGGATGCAAGAGCGGCAACTTCAAGGTACAGGTGAGTATTTTCTCAGTGTCCGAGGAGGAAGTGTATGATGTAATAAGATCACCTGGAGAGAAGTAGCTAAAGAACAGATTGAAGAGCTAGTGATTCGACAGATGTAGCAGACCCAAAGGAGGTTTGTATTAGATTTTCTTGAAAGTTTAGGGAGACAGAAAAGATTTACGTGATAGAAGGTAAATAGAGAAAGTATTGATTATTAGATAGCTGCTCCTAAAAGTCTTTTGAGGCTGGGCGCGGTGGCTCACACCTGTAATCCCAGCACTTTGGGAGGCCGAGGCGGGTGGATCACGAGGTCAAGAGATCGAGACCATCCTGGCCAACATGGTGAAACCCCGTCTCTACTAAAAATACAAAAAATCAGCTGGGCATGGTGGCGTGTGCCTGTAATCCCAGCTACTCAGGAGGCTGAGGCAGGAGAATTGCCTGAACCCAGGAGGCGGAGGTTGCGGTAAGCCGAGATCGCGCCATTGCACTCCAGCCTGGGTAACAAGGGCGAAACTCCGTTCCAAAAAAAAAAAAAAAAAAAATCTTTTGACTAATTTTGTAATCCAGACAGCAGCATTCTTTCCAATTACCCTGAGATTTTTTTTGTACTTTCTTTTCTCTTTTTTTTTTTGTAAGAAAAAAGCTTCCCATTTTTAATGCATGAAAATTTGACTTTAGCTTCAACCCTTTGCATGTCGATGAATAATGTTTTAAAATTTTTTTTATTAAAATTTTTTATGGATACAAAAGTTGTGCATATTTATAGGGTACATGTGATATTTTGATACAAGAATATGATGTGTAATGATAACATCTGGAAAATTAGATTATCCCTCACCTCAAATATTCATCATTTCTTTGTGTTGGGAACATTCCAAATCTCTTTTAGGTACTTTGACTTATACAATAAATGACTGTTGGGCCAGGCACAGTGGCCCACACCTGTAATCTCAGCATTTTGGAAGGCTGAGGTGGGTGGATCACTTGCGGTCAGGAGTTCCAAACCAGCCTGGCCAACATGGTGAAATACCCATCTCTACTAAAAAGACAAAAATAAGCCAGAGATGGTGGCATGTGCCTGTAATCCCAGCCACTCAGGAGGCTGATAGGAAGAACGGCTTCAACCTGGGAGACAGAGGTTGTAATGAGCCAAGATTTCCTCACTGCACTCTAGCCTGGATGACAGAGTGGGACTCCATGCCAAAAAAAAAAAAAAAAAAAAAAAATTCTTACCTACAATTGTCCCACTGTGCTAAGGGACACTAGATTTTATTTCTTCTATCTAATTGTTTTTTTGTACCCATGAAGCAACCGTTCTCTATCTTCTCTTCCCCATTACCCTTCCTGACCTCTGGTAACCACCATTCTATTCACTGTCTCCATGAGATCAATTTTTTAGCTCCCACATATGAGTCAGAACATGCAATGTTTGTCTTTCTGTGTCTGGCTCATTTCACTTAACATGGTGTCCTCCAGTTCCATCTATGTTGTTGCAAATGGCAGGATTTTATTCTTTTTTATGATGGAATAATATGCCATTGTATACATTTTACTGCATTTTCTTTTTCCATTCATCTGTTGATAGACACGTAGGTTGATTTTGTATTTTGGCTACTGTGAATAGTGCTGCAATAAACACGGGAGTGCAGATATCTCTTGGATATACTGAAGAAACCAAATGTCAACACAGGGATATGAGAAATGGGAGACAAAAGTGATGTTTTGAGAAAGGAGATAAATGGAACTACATAATAGTTAAGAAGAAGGAATAAAGATGTGGAAATTCCAGTCGATTGAGCATGTGTTTTACCTGGAGTCTTTTGGGCCACAGAGCTACCACCTGGCTATTTATTCTAAGGGAGTTTGTAAGATCTCTTTCTGCTTTCAGTTTTTAATTGCTCTAAGGTTCTTCATCTAGTTTGTTTATTACTGCAAGCTTTCTGGGGATTTTGGCTCCCTGGCCCCCTGGTAACTGCATTTGTTGTCTTCCTGATTGAACAGAGAAAGGAGGCTGGTGGTCCCTGAAACACTGGTCTGCGGCTGGGATTCTCATTGCACTCCTCAGTGCTTGCTTCATTGTGAGCTGTGTGGGTAAGTTCTCACTGAGCTGCTATTTTCCTTGCTTGCCTTCCCTTGAATATTGGTTTCCTAGGATATATTCTCCTTTGCCCCATGAATATGTCAGCTCTTACTTGGAATACTAGCCTTTCCTTGATTTCTCCTTTTCCTTTTGTTATTCTTCCTCTATCTTTTGAAAATTGAATTCTTGTAGATTTACTTTACCTGGTTTTGTTAGCATTTTCTGAATCATGGCCTCACATATCCATGTTGTCACTGTAGCCATCATCTAAGACACCATCTTTCAGGACTGGGTTCACCAGCAATCCTGCGTTTTTCTAATCACAAAAGTCCTGTATTGGGAGTGCAATTCTCATTGCTGTCATAAGTGTAGTATTTTATATTGGGTTATTTGCTTCGGCCCTTATGCAGATCCTTTCTAGTGTGAGAGTAAAAAGTATTCAAATGAAATAATGGAGATAAAGAGAATAAAAGATTTCTTTCCTCTTCTGCTTTCATCTGAGCACGTCTCAGGCTCATTGTGTGAGAAGTCTTTAAGACCTTTTTCCTCTCCGATTCACAATTTGAATTTCTATTCACTGATAAGGTGATTAAAAATAGTTATTGAATAGTCTGGGAGGGAGTAAAAGTGACTTCCCCTGTCAATCGGGTCATGGCTGTAGTTCCCTCAGGGATTTAGATAAATCTGACAATATTCAGTAAAATACAAGTAATTAGCACCAAAGTTGGAATCTGTTTTGCTTTTGCTTTTTATAATCAAGTGCAAGAGAGAAGGGAGTTTAAGAATAGTTATTTCATAAAAAGAAACACAAATTCAGGACCTCAAAACATGGACTAAAGAGCAGGGTAGAAAGATTTGACTGTATTGAGTTTTAGTTATAGAAGGACAAAAAAGAAATGTGTGAAGAATCCGATCAGATTCTGTGAGATAAAAGATCCTGCTGAATGTGAACATTAACATAAAAGTTAACGTTCATTTGAGACATTCAAAATATCTTTGTAAGTGTTTAAAGTTTCCCCTTTGTTGTTACTTAGCCCATATGTTTATGTGTGGCTACTTGAAGCTGGTATTATTTAGAAAACATCAAAATAACCTGTGTGCTTGCATCAAGGTTATTAAGGCTGAAGAGAAGCAGACATCCAGTGAATCAATAAATATTTATTGATGACTTTATGACAGTTACTTTTTTAGGTGTTTGCAATTAAAAAAATTTTTTAGTTTTCACCTTCAGATTTCCTCCTTATTTTTTTAATAATAAAATATTTAAAAATCATTATTTTAAAAATTTGTGGGTACATAGTAGGTGTGTATATTTACGAGGTATATGAGATGTTTTGATACAAGCATGCAACGTGAAATAAGCACGTTATGGAGAATGGAGTATTTATGCTCCCAAGCATTTGTCCTATCCTTTAAGTTGTGTTTGTGCTTAATTGTAGGAAACAGGCAGAATCTGTGTCCACGTGTATGGAGCCTAAATCCTAGTGGTGAAAAGACCAAACAATTAAATGGGAAATAGATATATAAAAGCAAATAAGATAAATGAGTACGAGCAAATAATAATTTGGCATGGTCTTTACTGGGCTTGCAGAGACAAAGAGTGGTGGGGTCAGAGGTTAGTCAGCACTGTACAGATATAGAGCCTGAGGCTCCATAGCAAAATAATAGATGGGCACTAATCCTTCTTCTTCCTTCACAGTAACTTACCATTTTACACATGGCAAAACTGGCAAAAGTCTGTCTGAACTACACTCATATCATTCAAGTCTCACTTGCGTCAGTGAAGGGACAAAGATGACAGGTAACGCTTTAAAATGCTTAAATAGACTTTCTTATTTCTCAGGGAGAGATCAGGGTTGAGTTCAAAGTTGGTCTATTCTATTGTGCATTTGTGTGTGTATGTTTTATTAAGGTTTCTGCTTGGATATTTTCATGATTTCTCTAAACATACATGTTCATATCAGGCTCTAGACATGCCCCCAAAACAATTTCTTCTTCAGATTTTTGAGCTTGGTAAATACTATAAATCTACATGCATGTAATTTGCTCAGGTCAACCCTGAAAATTATTCATAACAATTCTCAGTTTTTACGTTCTCCTCACCCTCCATCAAATGCATAAAATACTTTCTTTGATATTTAAGGTTCCCAATTAATACTACCTATCTCCATCCGAAATACCAGCTTTATTACTGGTTAAACTGGTTCAGGATGAGACTGATCCCTGTCCAAAATATACTGTTGTTAACTTCATATGTGGAGAGTTGGCAGAGTTGAATTTAGGATCATGGTTAGTGTAATTAGTCAGCTTTCATGCTGCGGATAAGACATAACCCAAGACTGGGCAATTTACAAAAGAAAGAGGTTTATTGGTTTCAGAGTTCCACGTGGCTGGGAGACCTCACAATCATGGTGGAAGGTGAAAGTCTCGTCTCAGGTGGCAGCAGATAAGAGAAGAGAGACTGAGAGCCAAGTGAAACGAGTTTCCTCTTATCAAACCATCAGATCTTGTGAAACTTACTCACTACCACGAGAACAGTATGGGGGAACCACCCCCATGATTCAGTTATCTCCCACAGGGTAACTCCCACAATTCAAGACGAGATTTGGGTGGAGACACAGAGCCAAACTGTATCAGGCAGCTTCATGAAAAAGGAAAAGAGGCTTTCCGCCTGGCGGCAGCTGTCACTCAGCCAAGATGGGTCCAGATAAGCACATCCAGAAGTTACAGAGAAAGAGGCAGTCTGATGTCCTGTGCTTCCTTTGGAGGGTCTGCTGCTGGCAGCACCACCAGCTCTGCTCTCCACAGGTCTCCCCCCGCCCCGCCCGCCCAGATAAAGCGTAGACTGGGCTACAAGGACAAGCAAGGTTACATTATACATAGGATTGGCAGGCCGGGCGTGGTGGCTCACACCTGTAATCCAAGCACTTTGGAGGCCAAGGCAGGCGAATCACCTGAGGTCGGGAGTTCAAGACCAGCCTGACCAACATGGTGAAACCCCATCTTTAAAAAAAAAAAGTTCTTCACATGTACCCCCAAACCTAAAATGCAATAAAATAAATAAATGGAAAAAAAAAGAAATTATAAAGATTTAAATAAATGAGGAGACATCCATGTTTAAAAAAAAAAAAAAAGGATTCGTGTTCGTCCTGGTGGCTGAAAACGTCCAGTTCCTGCGTGTAACTTAGGGCAAGCCTGTCCCTCATGGTGTTAACCAGCTGAAGTTTGCTCCAAGCCTTCAGTCTGCTGCAGAGGAGCGCGCTGGACGACGCTGTGGGGCTCTGAGAGTCCTGAATTCTCACTGGGTTGGTGAAGATGCCACATAAAAAATTTTTGAGCTTATCCTCATTGATCCATGCTATAAAGCTATCGGAAGAAATCCTGACACCCAGTGGATCTGCAAACCAGTCTGCAAGCACAGGGAGACGTGCGGGCTGACATCTGCAGCCCGAAGGAGCCATGGTCTTGGAAGTTCCACCACACATTTGTGGTTCTCGTCCGCAGCTTGGAGAAGGCGCAATAGTCTCCAGCTCCAGTCTTACTCCTGATATCAGTAAACTTTGTAAACTTCATATCTAATAAATAATTTAGGACATTCAAAAAAAAAAAGGGGAAAGAGAAGGAAATAGTTGTCTTTATGGCTTCCAAAGTAAAGAAATGTAATCTAGACAGATGTCGGACTCTTGCTATTTCAAAAACCAATTAATTCCTCTGCTTTTATTGAGAAGCCTGTGAAAATTGAAGAGAGGAAGAAGCTTCTTTGTACTTCCAGGAGATTCAGGAATTTTCTTTTTGGTATTTGTCGAGAACATGGTACATGGGAGATGTAAAGGATTTTTTTTTTAAATTTTCCCCAACTTACATCATGCTGAGGGTTTTTTAGTGAAACAGTTTGGAGCTGACTCTTCTTGTCGGGGGGTGGGTGGAGGGATCATAATTCTATCAGGATAGCCTTCCTCCCACCTATGTGGAACACTGCTTCAACAACTAGCATTTGAATGCATATTATCCTGGAAGCAGCAATGGGCACCTTAGCTTTTGCCTTCAGAATGCTCTGAAATGGGACAGAGATGGATATTAATTAAATTAACTCTATATCCATCTGGCATAAGAGACTGTTAATTGGTCCCCTAAGTGTATCCCATGTAAAATTATGACCAGCCAACCTGTCCAATACAACTACTTAAAGTTACAGAAAAGCTTATGTGATAAAATACGATTATTTTATATAATACCATGTCAGCCAATAAAAGTACTCTAATTTTAACAACATCCTTTCAAATTATCATTACAATGAAAAATAAAAAGTCCAAACACAAAATTTCCTTTTGATTAAGGGTAAGAATAATTGAATCCAAGAATGATTGAAGAATAATTAAAGAATAATTGGAATCCACACTGTACCTTCTTCAGTTTGTTTCCCACTCAGTCTCAGTGTGTGGAGACGTTCAGCCGCATAGGAAGAGCTAGAGTTCCTTCAGTTCACTTGCACTCTGCTTAGACCAGTTTGTTTTTAATTATTTTGCTTGTCAACCCCCAAAAAGGATTTTGAAAACATACGTACTCTCCTATACAGTTTAATTTGACATTAAATTTTTCATCATGCTATAGAAGCAAAAGCTTTAATTTCTGGAACATTGTAAATGTTGACTTTAAAAAACCAAACTGTCATTTCTCTTTTAAAATGTATTTACTTGCGTGTAAATACTATTACCAAGTGTTAACCCCATCATCTATTGAAACAATAATAAACATGTATTATTTAACAGTTGGATGTTTTACATCATTCGTCTATCCCCTTGAGCTAAAATTTACATGATGCTTTCCTCATCTGTAAAAATATGTAGATAATCAAAAAATATTTTGCTTTCCTGTGGACCATTAGGCTTCAAGTGTTATAAAATGTGCTCTGGATTGATTTATTATCATAATTATTATCAGGACATAATAGCAAAACATCACAAATTTATTATGAACTTTGATAAATCATTAAAAATAAAGAAAAAGTATTGGAAGTCTAAGTCTTAATGAGATGAATGAAACTTTTAAAAAGTTATCAAATGTAACTATAATATTATTGCTAACATATTCAACATCAATTCAACTCCTGTTTTCCAATTTAACAACATTAACTGAAAAATCTTGCTTACCTTAATCAGTAGATAAGAATGAAAAAATTTTGTTTGAATGTAGCTCAATTTTTGATATTCTTTCAGCATTATCTGCTTAAGATTATATAGTAATTTATTGCCAAAAATTATTTATAATGGTTTGCAAACTGAGAATTTGGTCAGGTTACCCCCAGTGTTGTTGAAAGTAAACAATAAGAAATATTGTAGAATAATTTTGCAAGAGATTTGTTATTTCTCAGTCAGTAGTTGTTTGCTTTCTCAAAAGTATACCCAAAAGTGTTCTAATAAGGCTTATCAAATGATTATGATTTTCATCTGTTACTTTCTACACTTGCAAAGTAACTTGATCAGCTCATTATTCTCAGCATAAACTGAGAAAATAAAATATAATTAATGTTGGTTATGCCTTTTTGACAGATGCTTTTATTGATCACAGCTGTCAATATTTTTTGTCAACCTTCGAGTGGCAATTTCACATGTTCAGCTTATGAAAAAATTTTGGCATATATATCTCAGTTGGCAAAGTCAGTCAAATTTGACTTTTAAAAATTCAAATCATATGTTAACACATACGTTGGGACATATTAAAACAAACATTAATAGTGAGCAGAATGCACAATGAAAGTATATTTCTAAAAGCAGCCAACATGCAAATAATTATAGAGGTGGTTAATCTATTATATTCATTTTATAACATTATAAAAGGAAGAATAAGCTTTCTGGTTTTTAATCATTGAATATGTAATGATGTAATAACGTAAAAAAGGAATAAAATAGAACTATGTGTGATAACATGGATGAATATTAGCAATGCAAAATAAAAAAAATAAGCCCAAGAAGATCACATATATTATAATTACTGTTTCAAATTTCAAAACCCAACAAATCTAAACAATTTACTATTTAAGCATACATAGATATTTGTTTAAATTATATGAAATCAAAATCATATTGATTTTAAGTATAATGAAAATATATCAGTGGATTTATATATGACGAGCTATGGATTTCTTTAATCCTAGGATAGTGGCAAACTGGTACTTGTAAGGGGACGGGAGAGAACTGCTAATTGTTTAAGACGCTTAAGCACTTCATATGGTGGGAACATTAGTAATAGGTAACATTTATTGAGCAATTATTCTACGTTAAGCATCTTTTAAAATGCTTTATACTTATTATGTGATTAAATCCCCCTGTGAGGTTGGCCCTACTGTTATTTCCATTTTGGAAAGGCAATAATTGAGGCTCAAGGAGGTTACGAATTTGCCCAAAGACATACCTGATAACTTGGGGAGCCAGAATTCTTAAGAGGCATAATTCTAATTCTCATAACTAACCTGTGAGTAGTTATCATTTTAAAAACCTAAGGCCCTGTGGTTTGTGCAAGATTGCTGAGCAGAATTGAGTTTCTAGGTTCGTCTGTGTCCGTCATTTAAAACTGTAGGAGGACTTGGTGCTCATAATGCATAAGGGACATGAAAAACAAAACTCGATCGTAATTTTTTTTTTTTTAAAGAAAACCCAGAGAAATTCTGCTGGTAACTTTAATACATACTGAGGACTTAATGCTAAAGAATGTTTATTTGAAATCAATTCTAGGACCCCAAATTATGTAATTCAGGAAACAGCAAAAACATGAATTAAGAAACTGTCTGTAGAAAGCAACCACAGATCATTAATCTTATTTATCTCATCTTGCACTCACTCTTTTTTTTTTTTTTCATGTAACACAAAAATAGCCTGGGAATGTTGTCCAGCTTCTTGGAAGCCATTTGGTTCCAGTTGCTATTTCATTTCTAGCGAAGAGAAGTTTTGGTCTAAGAGTGAGCAGAACTGTGCGGAGATGGGAGCGCATTTGCTTGTGATCAACACGGAAGCAGAGCAGGTACTGCTTTCATTTTTAAATTATTTAATTGCAGAAAAAACACATAACATAAAATTTACTGTCATAACCATTTTTAAGTGTGCAGTTCAGTAGTGTTTACTATTTTCACATTGCTGTGTAACAGATCTCTAGAACTTTTTCATCTTGCAAAACGGAGCTCTCCACCCATTGAACAGCAGCTGTCCATCTTCCCATTCCTGAAAGCCCTGGGAATCACTTCTCTACTTTTGTTTCTATGAGACCATTTTAAACACTTTATATAAGTGAAATTGTACAGTATGTGTCATTTTTTGTATAACCTATTTTATTTAGTATAATATCCTCAAGATTCATCTGTGTTCTAGTATATGACAGGACTTTCTTTCACTCCAGGGCTGAATAACATTCCATTGTATATACATCTCACACTTTCTTTTTGTTTCTTTATTTAAGGTGTACACTGCGATGATTTGATATACATATATATTGTGAAATGGTTACCACAATCAGGCTAATTAATATATCCATACATCATATATTTAACCTTCTTTTTCTCTTTTTTTGTGGTGAGAATTCGTTAAGGTGCCACGCTTCCATTCATTTACTTGTCAATTGTCATTTAGGTTGCTTCCACTCTGTGGCTATTGTGAATAATTCTGCCATAAATGTGGGTGTGCAAATAATCTTTTAGAGTTCCCGTTTTCAATTCTTTGGACATATACCCATAAATGGGATTTCTGGATCACATGGTAGTTCTATTTTTAATTTTTTGAGGAAGCTTCATACTATTTTGATACTGACTGCGCCATTTAATATCACCAGCAAGGGTACCCAAGGGTCTCACTTCACATTCTTGTCAACACTTGTTATTTTGTTTTGTTTTGCTTTTGAATAGTGGCAATCCTAATGGAGGTGAGGAAATATCTCATTGTAATTTTGATTTGTATTCCTTTAATAATCAATAATGTTGAACAATTTTTTTTTTTTGAGACAGCGTCTCACTCTGTCACCCAGGCTGGAGTGCAGTGGCAGTGATCTCGGCTCACTGTAACCTCCGCCTCCCAGGTTCAAGCAATTCTCTGCCTCAGGCTCCTGAGTAGCTGGGATTACAGGCACCCGCCACCATGCCCGGCTAATTTTTGAATTTTAGTAGACACAGGGTTTCACCATCTTGGCCAGGCTGATCTTGAACTCCTGACCTTGTGATCCACACACCTTGGCCTCCCAAAGTGCTGGGTGCAAGCCACCACACCCTGCTGAGCAATATTTTAAATGTACTGTTGACAATGTATATATCTTCTTTGGAGAAATGTCTATTCAAGTCCCGTGCCCAGTTTTTAACTGGGTTGTTTTATTGTTGTTGAGTTGGAGGCATTCCTTATGTATTCTTGATATTAACTCCTTACCAGATATATGATTTGCATGTATTTTCTGTCATTTCATAGGCTTTTTATTAGTTGATTGTTTCTTTTTTTTTTTTTTTTTTTTTTTTTTTTTTT